GGAGTTTGGTCACTGTGCGCCGTTGGAACAACAACTCATCGGCCAACGCAATATAGAGGCTCTTTGGTCCGCCAGTAAAACCGAAGAGTGGTTAAGACTCAATAAATAGAGCATGTTTTGCTTCCTTTTGAGGTTTTAGTGATGTAGCTATCCATTTTGCCACGTTCCATAATGTTGCGACGAGTCACAAAACACTATCATGACGATGAACAGGTTTTGTAAGCCCTACTTCCGCAGTTGCATATCCCAACGCCCTTGAAAGGTGACGGGTATGTATTTTGCCGATGATGGGACGCCAATCTAAACATGGATCATGACCAAAAGTATCTCCGTTGCCCCAGTTCAAGCGATATCCTCTGGAGCCTAAATTAGCGATGACAGCAAAGGTGCAAGTAACGTTTTCGGCCAAAAGAAACAATGATTATAGGGCAATGGGAGCTCGCCCAGGGCATGCAACTGTTGGTTGCTGGAACTGATAAGGAGAATCGAGGTTATATGAATTCATTGTTTGGGTCGTGTTCATTCAAGACTCCGTGTACTGTATATCATTAATTAGCCATCTTCAAGGATGAGAGGCTGTTTCATCAGAACCTCGGGGGGCTTCCAGGCATATTGTAGCCAACACACACTGCTTTTTTGACAATTCGGCAGCTAAGAGCTAGGAGAATCACAGTGATTGGCCACTCTGAAACGTTGTCTGGCTGCACCCTATCCCTAACAAAGCCAAATGCAGATGGCCATTTGCTTTTGACCGCATGATTAAGCACGATATGAGTTGGATTAGAGACTATACTCCAGCCTTTCAATACGGAGACTATTGTCCAGTCCGCACAAAGAAAGAACAAGAATATTGCCGCGGAGCCTCAGCTGAGGGTCCTCACTTTGTCTTTAGTGCCTCACGGTTGCGGAAAGATGTTTCTTATAAGCAGGAAATTGAGTATGCTCTCTGTCAAGGAGGTCCTAGAACAAGATGAAGAGCTCCTGGGGATTATACAGTATTAAATGGGCAATATGCCTCTATTTGAGTATATAAGTCTCGAGTTCTCATTCAAAAAGCATATCGGCTGCAATCAGTCATGGGCATGATTTCAGAAAACATCGTCAAGTCCGTTTTAGTGACCATTCTTCTTGTTCTCAGCCTTGGAAGACTATTTATTTCGTATCGGTTTCCCTTGAATTGGCCATGGCATAAAATCGATTTAGCTTTGTGTGCCTTGCCTTGTATTTTCTTCGCTCTTCTCACTGGTTTGTTCTGGAGCCACAGGTTTCCAGCATGGGGTGAAGTGCTCTTCTGGGTTACTTCGATCTTCCCACCACTACATGCAGTAGGTCGACAGTACATGGAACTAGATTATGGTGGGTCTCTTTTAGGCTAACCACGCCATAGTACCTCCCTATAATCTTCCAGCAGCGGAAATACCCAAACACGCCTCGATTACTGCGCACCATGTATCCTTCTTTTGCTGCACTTTCCACCCTGGCTAAAGTGGCATTCTCCCTCGTTGGAACTTTTGTCCTGAGCTCTGTTCATCTGGGCGGCCTCTTTATTCTCTCTGTGGACTACCTCGGTATAGCTGCATGGTATTGGTGGTTGTTTCGACAGTCAACTCTAGGCCGAGCTCAGCTGCGGTTTATCTCGTGTTACCTCTCTGTAGTAGCACTTCTTTTGCTTGTGGTTGCCATCATAGGCATGTTAGGTAAAACATGGATATTTGCACTGGAGGTAATCACAATCATTCCCATATTGCCAACAACACTGACACTCAGCAGATCGAACTGATCCTTGCCTTGGTATCTTCTTTGCAGTTAACCAAGTGAGCCACGGAGATGTACCTTTGGGTACCTCCAAATGAATTACGCCATGTCGACGCCATGGGCAGGGTGACTCAGGCAAGGCTTTTAAACCAGAATTATATGGTTTCCCGCT